GACAGGACAAGGATGGGAAACTTCACTTCATCGTCTACATTTCCGTGCTTTCCCGGACCACCTACCCAGGGAGCAAGACAACATCTTCACAATTTGAGGGGTCAAAACAAGAAAACTCCTTTCGGCTGGTGGTGAAGAACTTCAAGGCACAGGACCAGGGGACCTATTTCTGCTTCAGCAACATCAACCAGGAGCTGCACTTCAGCTCTGGACAACCCGCCTTCTTCCCAGGTCAGCAGCAGCTTCACCCACCTCGCTTACACCCACCTCCCCTGCCCCTGCCTTCTCCATCCGCCCATCGCCCACACTCCCCATGTCCCTGCTTCTTTGCCAAGCCATCTCATCACACACGCACTGCTCCTCCCCAGAGAGGCTGAAGGCACTGTTGAGAAATTAGGAGACCACAGCATTCAATTCATATGGTTTGGCAGCATGTTGTGGCATCACTGTTGAAAATCCTTCCTGTGGTGGCCATGTTTCAGCTGGGGTGAGAGAAAGCTCTTGTATTCTATCTCACTGTATTCATCCAATTTATTTTTAGTCACAACAACATCAGCACCCACCACACCTGCTGTCACCAACCAGAGCAGACAGATCACCAAGAAAGACATCTGCATGCAGAGCTCAGATCCAGGTAACCCAGCTGTGGATAGATGAAATAAATGCCTATGCTGACTACAGGCATTTTGGGATGCAGGATGAGGGGAAATATCTTGAGCTTCATCAGTGAGATGCTGATGAGGGGATGAAACTAACACCATTATGGCATGTGCTGCCCAGGGAAGAGATGAAATCTCCTTTCCCAGAGGTATTCAAGAAATGAGCGTATGTGGCACTGTGGGACATGGGTTAGTGGGCCATTCTTGAACTAGATTTTCTTAGTGGGCTTTTTAAACCTCAGTGATTTCACGATTCCAAACCCAAGTTTTTTCCCACTCGGGGTGACTTAAGAGGCACAGGAATTCTGATGACTGGACAACACCAAAAGAAGGGAAAGCATTTTGAGCCAGCACTGGTTTTAGCCCCAGAAGGAGACAAGAGAGGACTTTGGCTACATGTCCTCCCTCAGCTCCCCAGCACAACGCCAACAGCATCAGCCCACAACTGGGGATGTCACCTGAGGACATGCCTGGTCCCACCCCCCTCTTTGTGCCCTGTGGAAGTCCTCTCCTCACATACACCTACCGCCAGCCTCGCTCAGGGCCACGCAGCTCTGTGCTGCAGGACCTCCCAGTGGCTCTGCCACAGCTGGTCATCAGCACAGCTGGGAGACAGGCCTTTCCTCTTTGCTCTCCTTTCTTTCTGCAGAAACAAGCAACAAGAACATGCTGAATTTCTACTGTGAGATTTACATCTGGGCTCCCCTTGCTGGCGTCTGCCTCGTGCTCCTTGTAGTTCTGGTTGTCACCATCGTGCTCTGCCAAAGTAAGTCGCACCCTGGCACCCTGCAGAGGTTCCTGCAGCCTCATACCACAGAGCACAGCCCGCTCCCCCAGGGGAATGGGCTCCCTGCCTATTGCCCTCACAGGACCTCTCATAAAATCATTTTCCATATTTTTCTTATCTACACATTTAGCTTCAGAAATACTTATCACATCCTCCTGCCAGACAATAAATTACAAAGAGAGAAATGTTACCGCACCCAACTGCACTGACTCTACCTTAGATCCTTAGACCAGCACACTGCCTTTAATATGCATTGTCTAAGGGCAGTGCTCAGTATCTCTCTGCATCCCACTGTAAGTTTGCAGTAGCAGTGAGTAAAACCTCAGCCCATGACACCCTCCTGGTTTGTAGATACGGATTGCAGCCACGTGGATACAGACGTGGTCCCACGCCGGGTGGGAGCGTTGCCATTCACCTTCTTCAGCAGTAACTGCCGCCAATGGATTTTCAGCAGCATGCCAGGGTTGCTGGAGACAGCAAAAAGGAACTCAGCCCTGTGCCCCCAGCCTGACATGGCAGCTCTGAAGCCGAGTGCTGAGGGAACAGGAGCTGCAGCAGCGCCCGGCGCATGGCTTTCCCCACACATGAGCTCAGTTCGCATCCTCTCAGCCTGATAGGAGACAGGAAGGCAGTGAGTTGCTGGGGAATGCCAGCCCTACACAGCAGCTGCACTGCTTTCCTACCCTGTGACTTCATATCTCTGAACTGTTTGCTCTTTTCATTTTAGAGACCAGAAGACGACGATGCAGGTGTAAGAGGTCAGTATGTGACAAGGGGGGATGCTTTTGTCTTGAAGTCTGTAGCATTAATACTGGGCCATAAGGCAAGCAGGTGGCACAGGAAACACCGAAATGCACCTGGACTTTCTTCTCCCAGAGTGCAGTAGATAGGAGGGGACTGTGTAATTGTTGAGGGGGGGAGAGGGGAAAAAAAAAAAAAAGAGATAAGCAAACAGAGAAAAGAACCTTACATCATTCAAATCCCTGAGCACTGACGACTCTACACAAAGCCAGGATGCATCAGCAGAAGCCAAAACCCTCTGCACACCACCCAGTGCTCATCCCTTCCCCTCTCTCTCATCATCCCAAGCCTCCAAGAACACACTGTCAGAATAATAAACGTTGCAGGCTGCAGTTTACCACTTTTGAACTCCCACTGCCCAGCAGCAGCACGCACCTTGCTTCTGCAGCCTGACCTCCCTGCAGCTGGTCTCACCCAGCCTGCTCAGCAGAAAACCACTTCTGCACTTTGCAAGGTTGGTGCTGAGCCCAGTGCAGGGCTGTCACAGATAAGTGCTCGACCACGGAAATCCCCAGTGCTGCTCCAGTTACACCAGCACCATGCAGGGGCTGCAAAAGAGAGGCTGCAAGCAGCAGTTTCATATCTCTGCAGCCTTCTCTGCAAATGGAGCCGTTTGCAGCTGATAAATTCAGCCTGCTGGTTACATGTCCACGAGTTTCATAGACAAGAAGGAGATATGTTTTATAAACAATTTAATTGCTCACTACTACTAATAGGGAAAACCTCTCTACTCGCATTTACTGAAAAGGGATCCCTACATCTATGTTTGCAGCCACTGCAGAATATTGGGGCTTTTATTTAGAGGGGCACCTTCTGGTGCCACTGACTGAGACAAGGCCTATTTCTATTCTACTCTATTGGAAGCCTATTTTTTATCATTATTTTAACTACTGCTTAGCAGCATACAGATGCTGAATGAGTGCAAAGGGGACGCAGCGATGCTTGCAGCTGGCTAGGAGGTCCCAGGCTGCACCGTGAGCTGAGCAGCAGGATGGGAACTACCTCCCTGCTCACTGCACATCCAAATAAATCCTTTTTTCCCCTCTCTAGACCTCCAAATGGGAAGCCTGGTGCAAAACCCAGTGTACCAACCCGACACATATGAGCAGCTGCAGCGCCCGGCTGCTGGTCAGCATCTGGGAGCCACTGCTGCCAAAGGCAATCTGCCACATAGCTACTACTCTTCGAGCATGCTATCCTGAGAAATCCAGAAAGACAGCAAAGGAGCAGAGTCACACAGAGCCAGCACCTCCCTGAAGCACAGCTCTTACTGAACCAGAGCTTTTCCATTGGATTCCAAAGGCCCAACACCACCTTCAGACCCAGCAGAACTCTGCGGTTCCAGCAGAAGAAAGCGGTCGGTCCTGATGGAAAGACCCATCGGTGACAAGTGGATGAGAAATAAGGATATTGACTGATCTGCCCCCTTTTTTGTGGCGCTGTGCAGCCCCCTCAAAGTTTCACAGAGTCACAGAACGGCTCACGTTGGAAGGGACCTTACAGACCATCACATCCCAACCCCAGCCACGGGCTGGGTGCCACTACCGGGTCAGGCCGCCCAGGGCCCCATCCAACCCAGCCCTGAGCAAAGTTTCATCTCATATAACATAGGGCTGCACTGAGAAAGCAAACAAGGATATAAGGGCTGTACTTTTGGGAGTTTTACACTCCTGCAGGCTGAAGTTTCTTATTTCCCCTTTGCTCCTTTCATCCTGCTGCTAACCCCACACCCACTGTGCTCAGCACTTCCACCTGGGCACAAAGTGGGATTTCCCTTCTTTCTGGAATAACTGGTTGAGTATCAATAAATTAACAGCCTCTGTTACTTGCTTTGGCTAAGCAGGACTTTCAGCATACTTGGGGCACTGCGAGCAAGAGTTGTTTATTTTTTCACCTCTGTGCCTGATGTAAATATTTCCTCATTACAGTGACATGTCAACACCTGAGATAAAATAAAGCAATGTTTCCAGACAGATTCACTAATGCTTCTTTCTTTCTTTGCTTTCTGGCCTCAGAGAAGCCAAAACCCCATGTGAAAACCTGAGGGTTTGAGGCAGTCACATGTAAGGGCATCAGATGCCGCAGTTTAGGTTCCAATTGTCCTTGAGACAATCTCTGCATTGATTTTCTCAGGGAGATGCAGGATGGGTCCAGAAACACTCCCTGCACCATGAAGGTGGAGGAGATAAAGGTTTTGGTGTTGTCTCCAAGCGGCTGATAAAGGCCTGGGGAAAACAAAGAACACGAAGCTTTTTGCAGAGGGGGGGACAGCAGGACAGCTGGGGATGAGAGAAGCTGAGAGAGAAGCAGTTTTTCAGCTTAGCTCCAATCATACCAAACTGAAAAAAGACAGAGTAAACGAACACATCTAAAGCTCATCCCTGCTTCACCATCCTCTATAGCCGTTTCCTCACTGTTCTCAGTCAATGCACTGCAGTTTTTGGCAGCCCCCCGTGCACCGCATGCAGCCACCCTCCTGTAACTCATCAGGCAATGCTCCAACAATGTTAGCCCAAAAATCCTCTCCCAGCAGCTCAGGCAGTTCCCACACCAAGTGCAACCCTAGTGCAGGAATTATCTTTGTGCCTCACGTGGCACAGATGCAGCCACACAGGTATTGAGATGCAAGAAAATAAAAAGCAATCCTAACTAAGGAAATACAAAACGCCTCCCAAACAGAAAACCAGGTGTAGCATTTAACTGTAAAGCACTTCAGAAAAGAAAGTGCAAGCAGCTCAGGCAGATGAAAAGATGAAGCTCTACAGCTGGCATGTCTCATACAGCAGCTCTTTGCACTGATGTTAGCCCCACTGGTTGCAGATACCTGGCTGTGCACAACATGGTAGGTGACGTACACTGAGATAAAGGCATTAACACTCAACAGAGAACCTGGCAGAAGCATTACTCTGTATTCTTTCCTCTGTATGCTCTGATGCTCTTTAAAACAAAACAATCTATGTGTGCAATATTCAGTAGAGCTCTGCTACTATGAGAGCCCCCGGAGGTCAATTCTGCAGGGAAAAGCAGGCAAAGCACAGCAAAGCAACACTTTAAGTAGTGAAATACGCATATTTGGACATTAGCAGGTACTGATGTTACATAGATGCTCCACTGTGCAGGGCTGCACCAAGATCCTGGTCCTGGAGGGAGACTGACGCAGGCAAAGCCATCCCAACACCACAGATGAGTGCAGTGAAGGACCTGGAAGCAGCACACACTGTAAGGAATCTTAACTTGCACATGAAATCCAACATTTTGGGGAAAAACTACAATGCTGCCAGGTGCAATTTCCCTCCTGAACACAGAATAAAATTCAGTGGGAGCAGGCACTGAAGCTCAGCCCATTCTCCTGAGGCTAAAGCTGGCATGTGATGTGCACCCTGTGGAAACCATGCCATGCTGTTGCTTCAGGACACAAAAAGTACAATAAGGGAAAAGAAATAGTGACAGAGACCTGAGAAACACAGTAGAGGCAGTAAAATATGATTCTCCTGTAAAGAGGTTTCTTCCTTCTGATTCATCTCATATAAAACCTACTCAACACTCAGGGTCAGCATGACCTGCCCATCACTGAGCTCGTTCCAGTTTGCACTGACACTGTGCTGCTAAGCTACATTCAAAGTAACCCACTGGATCGTGGAAAAAACCCATTAGTTGCAAAGCAGAATACAAACTGGGCCAGACTACCAGGGCTTTGTATTTGGAATGTGCAGATAAGGCTGTGCTTCTCCATGGAACCTATTGATACTGCTACCCAAATGCATACCATCAAGGCAGAGCTCATGCACATTAACACAGGCATGGAGGAAACAAGGCATTATCCTTTAAGTTAACCCACACATTGAAAATCATGGAGGAAAAAGCAAAAGTTGAACCTTCAAAGGCAGCTGGCAAGGAACAACAGACTTATCTCACACATCTTGTTAAACCACATTTCTCTTGTGCATAAATATTGAGGCTTGCATTAAGTTTCGAGTAAAAACCCAACGTTGCATTACATCTTTACTCATTATAGATCATCTCTGGTGCTCTCTCATCTTTTTATTCTGTTCTCAAAGCACTGTTCCCTACACTGGAAGGAAGAGCACAAGAATGGGAATGGTTTATAGGGCATAACGTTTCCAGAGACACACCAGTCTCTGCAGGGAAAAGCAAAGAGAAGAAAATAGTATTTTGAGGTAGGCAAACTAATCTTGCAAGGAAAACCAAACCCAAACTTACTGCTCTTTAAATGCAGTGAGTTGGCCCTACGTAGCCATAAATAACTTGAAGGCTGAAGTTTAGCAACAGCCGTGTTGTACAACGCGATAAAGAATGAAAGCAACAGGAGGAGTGAAATCTAAGTTAGCAGGGATCAAAAGCTCTAACTCATTCCTTCTAATGTATAGCTTCTGCTGCAGCTGCTATGCGAGTTAATTAACCTGACTTATGGACAGAAGACTCAAATCAATATTTCAGCAGAGAAACACTGATTTTTAGCAGGCATGGCTGAATGACCAGCCTGCAATTGCTGCCTGCAATTTACAGCACTGAAGACCCTGCAGGAAAAGATTTTCCTTGTTCAAAAATACCTCACAGAGCAGCAGATCACCGACAGGGCTGAAGGAGCCAAAGGACACGGGCTTGTTGCAACATCACGGTCACAGCACCAGGAAAACATCCAGTGGCTTTTAACCAGCACTTGAAGTCAAAGGTTACGTGCTAGTTTCATTGCAGCTCCAAGTCCAGCGCAGCAGGCAGAAGTCACAGTGATGTGGATACATATAGAACCTTCCACTTACTGTGCAGCACTCTCATGAAAAGGCATTGCAGTGCAAGGGGATCAAGATTTGGCACAGAAGCTCAGAGATAACTGCAGTACTTTAAAATGCTTTAGAAGCACGAAGCAGAAGTATTTGATTTTAAAAACACTGTGGATGTTTCCAAACTGCAGTGCAGAAAATGGACGCATTGGCTGCTGATCAGATCTGACATAAGAAAGCCTCCTGTTATTATTCACTCTTTAGGCAAAGGAAACAATTCAGGCAGTAGGAGATAAACAAAAGGCAGCTCTAGGAACCAAAGCGCAGGCAGTGCCTCACAACCACCCAGCACCTCATGCACATAAGCACTCTGTACTCAGACAACGAGCATCATCTGTTGGCGGAGCTTCAGAACTGCAAGCAGTTAGCCAGCAAGCACACAGCTAGGGAAAGAACAGTCAACACTGTAAATTAGCTATGTGTCCATAATGTGAACTATTCAGAAAACAGGAACACACTTAAATTCAATTCAGAACTTTTCCAATGCACTGCCAACTAACATCTGCCATTTTTGTACTCAGAGAACTGCATCAGAGGCATTTTCAACACGGGTTTATGTTCACACCAGCACCAAACCACCAGCAACGTGACAGAACAACACAGTAAAGTGCAAGGTTTTGCATTTGGGCCAGAGCAATCCCAGGCATCCTTACGGACTGGAAGGAGCAGTCCTTGAGAGCAGCCTGCAGAGAAGGACCTGGGGGTCCTGATGGATGAAAAACTGAATGTGAGCCAGCAGTGTGCTCTTACAGCTCGGAAGGCAAATGGGATCCTGGGCTCCATCAGAAGAGGGGTGGCCAGCAGGGACAGGGAGGTGATTGTCCCCCTCTACTCTGCTCTTGTGAGGCCCCATTTGGAGTACTGTGTACAGGTTTGGAGCCCCCAGTACAAGAAAGGGAGCTGTTGGAGAGGGTCCAGAGGAGGGCAACGAACATGATCAGGGGACTGGAGCACCTCCCCTATGGAGACAGGCTGAGGGAGCTGGGCTTGTTCAGCATGGAGAAAAGAAGGCTGCGGGGTGACCTGATTGCAGCCTTTCAGTACCTAAAGGGAGCCTACAGAAAGGAGGGGAATCAACTCTGTGAAAGGGTTGATAACTGCAGGACAAGGGGAAATGGTTTTAAATTAAGGGAGGGAAGATTTAGGTTGGATGTCAGGGGGAAGTTCTTTACAGAGAGAGTGGTGAGGTGCTGGAACAGCTGCCCAGAGAGGTTGTGGATGCCCTGTCCCTGGAGGTGTTCAAGGCCAGGTTGGGGCCCTGGGCAGCCTGGTCTAGCATTAAATGTGGAGGTTGGTGGCCCTGCATGTGGCAGGGGGTTGGAGATTCATGATCCTTGAGGTCCTTTCCAACCTGCCATTCTGTGATTCTGAGAACAGAGCTGTTCCTTGGGAACTGTTTTTTTTTTTCCATTTAGTCCATATGTCATCACGTTTCAGTACAAAGCAACTCCACGCAAAAGAAAAGATGGAAAACAATGTCACCAAGACTAGGCAACCTACATGGAAAATAATATCCTCACCTGTTTATTGTTAGTTTTACCACTCGGTAACCTGGTTGGTTGGAACTCAGTGTGAATACAACAGAAGTTTTGCAGAAAGTCACACACCTGCATTGTTCACACGAACCAAACGCATTTCAGGCTCCAAATTTGTGTGCCTCGACTTGTTGCTCTTCGTGTCTCTTTCAGGACATCCATTGTCACTGATCCGACAGAGTCCAACTCAGTCTCTCAAGCCAGGTGACACACAGATTCAAGAGGTGGAGATGTCTCACAGACGGTCTTCTCTGCAGTGCATGGTGCTAGGGCATTCAACCAGTGTGTCAGAATTCAACCGTGTCAGCTTGGATGTTTTACTCCACAATACAGGAATAGAATTTTACACGTAGCTTCGCATGCCTTATGGCTGCTCGCCCTACTATAGGACAGTGCAATAAATACAAATATCTGCACACTAGAAAAAGATTGAACTGCCATGATCTACACCTTGTTCATGAGTACAAATTTACCTAGTCAACAATATGACAAATTTAGCAGAAAAAGTGGTAATGGCAGTAATAGTCTACTACAAAAACAAGGCTAGAAGCAAAGTGTTCTCAAGCTACAGAAAACTTGCTACTTCCTAATACGTGACGTAGGGCCCAATTCTGCCAAGTGCAGCGTCGTGACCAGAAGACTGCATCAGAACATGCTTTTCCCCCATTTAACAATGAATAATTATACAATTTATTTGGTTTTGATAACTGTTTATAAATAGCACACTATAATGACTATTAACCTATACAGCAACATGACATTTATAGCCTAATCCTGAATACAAAGTCCAAGGAACATGACTACGAAGGCCAGAGAGCAAACGTCATCGACTAAAAGCATTTCCACTTCAGAATTTCCTTTTATTGAGTATTCTTTTACACAAGCATTTGAAACCTAAGGAACAGGATTTCCTATTCCCTCTGTTCCAGCAGTAATCTATCCACACATCACCCTTATAAATTAGTGATGGATTTTAACAGGTAGCCCCTTAGGGCTATATATTTATATATTTTATATATATGCACATTTACTTTGAATTCTATGTAAAAGTTGAAAAAATGTTTGAAAGAAAAACTCAGAATATATCACAGCTCTTTCAGCAAAAAAAATACAAATTAGTTTTATAACCACTATTCAATTTATCAAACTTTTTTTTTTTTTCCTGAAGTATTTACTTTTAATTATGTACACATTACAGGAAATAAAACTTCTTCCACAAACATTCTCTAAGGTGACAGTTACTGATAGATGATAGCAGGAGGAATATTAAACAAATGGGGGTGATCCATTTCTGCTTTTAAAAAGTAAAAAGTCACCATATAATTGAGTACAAAAACCTGCATTGAATGACAACTGCTGGTGTAGTAACTTGATCAGATATGGAGACCAAGAGTATAGTAAAGCCCTATGGTAATAATATTTCTGTAGCATTTCCACTTGGTATGTATATACTAAATGTTGGCAAAGTTTCTGTAGCATTAGCTTATACAAACATAGGAGTCCTCAGTCTGCTGCATAAAATGGAACAGGTGTGTTTTAATTCTCCCAAAATGCACCTGAATTGCAGAGTGTCACTTACAAACCGCATAATGGAGCTTTTCTTCAGAAAAATATCTGTTTGGCATCTCCAGGACTCTGCTCCATCGGACAATAGGGGCATTTTAATCTGGGGACGAAGACAGCATGTTAGAATGTCTGTAAAGCAGACAGAACCCGGTAGCAGTGCTTTCTGGAGCCCCAGCACTGCTGAAACACAGCTAAGCACTCAGCTTCTTCCTCCACCACAAAGGTATCAGATGGGCAGTGACAGTCCCTCCTCCTTTCCCCCAGCAGCACACAGTAAAAATACGTGAAGGCTCTGCTAAAAGTTACCTTTCACAGAAAGAAACCTTATCCCATTTTTCTTCCCTCTAATTGTTTTCTCACCTTTTACCCACTCACCTCTGAATTATTAAGTACCAGGAAATTATTCTTCACGGTTAATCTATTATTTAAGTTTTGGGGTTAGTTTGTTGCATTTAAGCCATTGTAAGCAGGCTGGTGGCTTTCAGTGTGACTTCATTAACATCCAGCCAGTTTTACTCCCCGATTCCCAAAATGCTGTCATTTCTCAATCCACAAAGATCAGCTCCTGCAGGCTATGGCTAAATAGGTCAGCCTGGCCCTCCCTGCTGAGGTCTCCACCAGCACAATTCCATCTGCTCACTGCATTTCTTCTAGCACTGATGCATTCTCCCCCCATCTCTAAGCCTGCACCTTTCATTCCCCAAAGTTAATTTTGTCAGAGCTGTTCTGTTACTAAAGCTGATGAATAAAAGCATCAGGAATGAGTGACCACAGACAGGAATAACACAGCAGAAAGCTTCTCGGCTTAAAAACAGATGAAGTTATCCCAAAAGCATACCTTCCCTTTTTGTTTGTTTTTTTAAACAGAGCAAAGCATGCAAACATTACTCAATGTTTTCAATCACAGTATCACTTATTTTCTTACTAGATGTCACAAAACAACCAAGAGCTCTAAATTAAGCCAACAGCCTTCGCAGAAGCTGCATACATTCAATCCACGTTACCTTATTCCTGAAGGAAATCTGTACAGCTCTCCCCTCAGTTTTCCTCCTTTCCAAAAGCCTGTAGCTACCAGTGCATGATAATTCAACTACCCACTCAATTGCTAAGCTGTATCTCCTCACAGGTTTACTCCCCCTGCCTACTTTAAAGGGTGTTTCCACCATTACAAGCCTTGCTGCCAGTGAAAAAACCAGGTGTGCAGAAGTCTCTCTTTGAATTTTGTGATGACATGGTGGCATTTGCAGCTCGGAAAATTACTCTGTTCACTACATTCCTTCATGTAATCCCTTTCTACAACATCAGAGGTTTCTTATGCTATCCTCCAGCACATCAGCTCAGCCACCTGATTTCAAAGTCATGCTCCAAGACTTACAAGCTTCCACCAGTTATGGAATTGGGGATGCAGCTTTCCTCAAACACCACACTTCAGTCTTAAGATTCATCATTCTCTACACTTAGCTTGGAATGCAAAAAAACGGTACTTACTTGCTGCCATTAAACATTTTATTCAAAGCATCTCTTGATATAATATGACCACAGACTAATTTCATAGGTGGATTATTATCTGTTGTTTGCTGACGGAGAATGGGACAAGCAAATATTGAATGGTACCAGCACTTTTTGCCAAGGTCCACCTCAATCTGCGAAAAAAATGAAGATGATTTATCCTGAGAAGCAACATTTCCAGACAATTATTCCTTTATGTCACAAAACCCTTAAGAACTGTAACTCAGCACTGAGGGCAGCAAAGTCCATCATGTTGATGCTTTACAACTTCCCAGTCAAGAACACTTCATTGTGATCTTAAAAAGGCAGTTTACGTTGCTCTCCCTCCCAACTCCCTAAAAAATCAAAGTATTCTGACAAAAGATAGGTGTATATTTTAGTGCAGGTCTGTGCTCTGTTAGGAAAACTGAGCTGATGACCCAACAAGGCATCCTGTATTTTCTAACCAGTGATTTCTACAGCTTCCTGAAAGACTTCCCCCTCACCTAGAAATCCCATCAATATTAAAGTGCATCAGAATCATTTCTCTTCAGCAGTAACACAGAAAATACTGGTCCAAAAAAAAAAAAAAAAAAACTCCAGCCATTAGCAATAAATGACTTCAGAAATGAACACCTCAAATAGAAAAGAGCATATAGATGACTTAAGGAAAGGACTGACAAGTGCAGGGCTGGAATGTGCATGCCTGAGAGTTCCACTCTCACTGTTACAAAAAAGCAGCTGAGCAAAAACTTAACACATGCACTGAAGCTACATGTGAATCTCTTCTAGCTACCATCAGTGAGGCTGAGTCCATGCCCAGTTTGCACTAAACAGGATTTATTTCCAAATCAGGAGCAGGTCACTGGAGAGCTGCATGAGCCTAGTAAAAGCTATAAAGGGAAAACAAGATTTCATAACAACTCAGCTTCTTTTAACTCAAGAGTTGTGCTGGAAGCACAGAGCACTGGATCCCAATGTATACAGATTCAGATACAGATCCCAGACACAGATCCAGCACTGCATCTTCTACTTCGTATCTGCCTGATGAAGTGTCAATGCAAAGCAGCCTATGAACAGATCTCAAGCCCAATTGGAGGAAGCTCATGTTCCTCAGTGAGATTCAAACTTTATCAACTACAGAAGAGGAAGGGGACTCAGCTGCCCATGCTTATGTTTTATGCAAGTCCTGTATGTGGGTGCTGCTGAAGGCAGTGCCTTGCCTATGGCAGCCTGCACAGCTGGTCATACCAGTGGCCCTTGTGCAAGTATGGGTGGTGATTCATGCTCAGCTTTGCCGTGGGCTGAAGCTACAAACAGAAAAGCAGCAGCCAAGTCCATCAGCCAGGCTGGCTGGCGACCCTGCACACAGCACAGGGGTTGAAACCACATGATCACTGTGGTCCTTTTCAAACCAGGCCATTCTGTGGTTCCGTGATCAACATGAGCAGAGATCCTGAAGTCTCTGTATAGGAAACCTCAGACCCTGGAGTTGCTGGAGCTGGTGGTTACGTATGACATCCCCTAGCATCCAGCACACAAGCAGCCTGAAACCTGCATTTCCATTAGAGATCCATCTGCCCCATAACAGCTCAGCTTTCACTCACCGGTAGTTCATCCTTCTGGTTCCAAACACCTGTGCACTGCCTTTGTTCAATAACTGCCTTGATATTAATTAGAGCTGGTAATGCTACACAACCTGCTGAAAAACTGCAGAAAAAAAAACAGATTAATATAGTGTGAGTTTTAGCAAGTAACTATTTCTTGTATTTCTATTTTAAAAAGTTTAGATACAGCAGTGTTATACTACTTCATTCAATTTGTGTCCGTGCTGCTGAGTAAAGAAAGAAAACAAATGTAGGGAAATAACGTCAGGCAAGAGAAGGAAGGAAAGCACAACATGCAGTGATGGAACAAGAGCAGCAGTATACAGCTGTACTGTGGCAGTGCCTCAACATTCTGCCTGCTCTGAGAGCTACCCATTTCCAGAACTTCCCACATTACTTTCAGGAAAACACTTCAAAGCATTAACAATGATTTTTGACAATTTAACAGACATTTTGATGGACAAAAACTTCAGTCTAACAACAGTGCTTTGGGCCTGGAAATCAGGAACAACAAAAACAGAATTTATCAGCCTGCCCTGCTTCTCTGGCAAATCATTTTGTTATCTGTGCATGTTTTATTATCATGACCTTCCTCTCCTCTGCTCCTCCAGATACTTATTTTTAAGGTTTCTACAACAATATTGTGGCTAGTTTTCTTGTGAGGGATGTGCCTGAAGCCTGCCAGCCTGCTGCCTGCTATTTTAAAGAAAAATGAAATGAAGCACCTCTCCAAATGACTGGCCTTTTCATTCCTTGCACTTGGCTTTTTGTTGGTGTCAGCACTGAGTAACTTGTGTTAACTCTTTGGGAAGTTTATACAGGTGCATCATAAAAGCACTACTGCCTCAACCATTCTACACTACATCTCTAGATGAGTCCAATGGGCACCTAACAATTCAAGTAAAACACAAATGTAAGTAACAATTTGGCATCCTGTTGTCCTTCAAGACCCCGAGCAATGACCTCCTCAATGCACTAAGTTTTCCTATTGACTCCACAGAGTAATTCAGACTGTAAGACTTGAATTAGACACACACTGAAGAAACCAATCAGTCTTCAAAAGAAAACTACAGCAGGCAACCTCTATCAACATTCTGAAAAGCAGTACATTTGATAACAGGGATTTCACTTGAAGCTAGTTTAATTTTTAAAGGATCTGCAGCACCAAAGGTCACGTCAGTTTCAAACAGCCTTATTTGTGACAGGAATATCGACACCCCCTGCGCAGCAAACATGTTTCAGCACAATCAAATTCATATTGGGCTCAAACCAAGAGGCCAACAGATCCAAATATGAGGGATTTTTCCACTTCATTGAAAATCTCAGACACTTGCACTGAGAGCTGCAGCATTACAGTGGCAGCACAAAAGGAAAACACCATGGGTGGTTGCTCACTTCACTGCAACAGGAACAACATGAGAACTAACAACCAAAGTTACAGATATCCATAATTTAGACTATCTATAAAATCCTCCAACTGAAACTGGCTTTGTTTATTCCAGGAAGACAACTCATGTGGAAGCAACTCCCTTTGTTGTAGTTTATGACAGAGGTGTGAAACAGGAGAAGCAGAAGGTAGGACAACTTCAAACAGAGCTCTAACGAAGAATAATAAAATGCAAATAGTAGTTAACAAACAAACCCAGGAAGAGGTAAGGAAGCTTCTGCTGAGTACTGAAACTAGCCCTGAAAGACGCATGTAATTGATTTTCCATTAAATGTTTGAAATAGAAATTAGAACATCAGGCAATTGGCAGCCAAAGGTTAAAGAGCAGCTGATCTGCATTATCTTCTGAAAAGCTAGAAGGAGATTAAACTGCTTTTTCTTAACATTTCTGACAGCCTACTATCGATTTGCATTTTGCCAGATTAGCTACTGGGCTTCAAAGAGCCTTTATCCTTTGCAAATGAGGGCCAACAAATAGTTTGGAAATTTGAGCAGTTAACATCACAACCTGATTCAAACACTCTCGTAAGGAGAAGACAGGTGAAAAAACACGTGGATTAAAAAGAAATGATCAAGTGCTGACAGAATCACGGCTGGAGTTTTAGTGCTTTGTGGTTACGCAGCAGGAAGAGTTTTCACACACTTGTTGTGGAAATAAATGGCTGATGGCCATCCTCGTCCTTCTGTCTAAGCTACAGAAGCCAAGATCCTTCCATGAATGCTTCCCTTTGAGCTGAAAAGATGCTTCCTCTCAGCTGAGAAAGCCCAGCACACCAGAATCTCTCATCATTCACATCCTTGCAAATCTCACTGGAGCTAATTGTAACCACACTCTTTACTTCACACCAGCTAAATAAGACTACTTGTCAGCATTTCTTTTGTCCTCAATTAGAAACAGAAACCAAAACTCCATGTACCAGGTCTTAAAAGCAAGCAAAAAGCAGCATACCTAACACTGAGTGGTGATTCGACTGAGAGACCCAGAAGAGCACAGGCATCTCTTGTGAAGATGTCACAGATGTCCGCCCACTGATTTGCATCTAATAGATGAACGTACGGCGAGTTCTCTATGCCTTGCCTCAGATACACCAGGCTGCCCATCAAAACCTGAATATCTGTGAGGGACCAGGAACAGTTAGTTATTTCATGCTATGAATAGAAGCTGGCATCTTCGCTTTTAGACTGTATGAGAGAAACAAGCAGAGGCAGAAGATACACCAAAGCAACGACACACATCCTCACCTCTACAACCTATAGCTCCAGCCATCACAGGACACTTTCACCTATGAGAGCCCCAGTGTGCTATGAAAATAAATGAAAATAATGACCGAAAACACACTGGGAGCATGATTTGCATTTAACTACCACACGTCACTTCCAAGTGCCTTGGGAATAAGACCTTACCTTTCTGATGGTTTAGGGCAAACGGCTGGAAGTTTTTAGCGTACTGAAGTGCTTCTCTTTGATTTGCTGTTCCACCCATCAATAAACTAATGAAATATAATCTGTGTAGTTTGAACTCCAGTGAACTATTCTGTGCCATAAGCATTTCTCTGTTGGATACCGCCCACCTGGAAGAAACGAGGAGGTACAAAGGGACGTGACACAGGAGTAATTAAATGTCAGCCCACATGATATCAAATTATTACAATTATCAAACAGCTATTTCAAGAAGGTGACTGTTCCTTGAACTTCTATTAGCCTACGTGGAGCACAGAAAAGAGTAAGATCCTTTACAAGTAGGAGTTATGCTGCATGCACAATACATGTACAACATACTTCTAGTGCTGCACAGGTTAGCCTGTGCCTTCTAACACAGCAACTGGAAGGAAAGACCGATTTAGGCACAATAGAAGGTAGAAATAGCTGAAATTAATTCCTATATTTGAATTAATATCGCTGAATCTTAACAATTACAGTCTTCTGCTGCATGTCATACAAGTACAACCAATGCTTTCAACAACATATTTTCCAAATTCCTCATTCCCCAGCGTCTTCTGCTCAGCCACTGTATTGTGTGTACGTTGCCCTGGAGAGGGGAAGTTCACCTATGGAACAAGTCCATGCACTGCAGGTACAAGGGGAAGAGAAATCAGTCTGCATACTGTACTCGGCTCTGCTAAAATGTGATTTGTGTTATTGTCAACTGGCTGCAATAGAGGCTGTTTTTCCAAACTGGCTTTTAGACAAGCTTTCTGTTTTCTTGTTCTCTGAGTGGCAGCACTGATTCGGATGAGAAGAAAGCAAACACAGAAGCAAGGCCTGAGGTGTTTGGACTAGCCAGTTCCATTCCTATTCAAAGGATTTGCAACAGAAAGAGAAAAAGCAGCAAATGATGGCTAAAACATTCAACTCACATACTCCCCACCACAGTTCAAAACCATCAGTAATCACAACATCTGTCTTCCTAACGCCTCTCAAAATGACACTTTCAGTGTCTTCAATTCTGTGACTCAAATCAATCTGAAATTTTTGAAGTATGCTGTACACTGTGCAAACCACAGCTCTCTGCTAGCTCCTATGGGGAATTTAGTTAGGATGCATCTCACAAAGCCTGACAGAGATTAAAGTAAGCTTAAACCATGTCCCCAAAGGTCACAGTGAACACCAAGACCTTACTGCTTTACAGACACATGGAATGACAATGCCTATTCCCTGGGAGACTACATCAGAAGTCCTGAACCTGCCACTTATTCCCATCAAAGCTTCACAAAGAATGCTCCTCCTGATCACTGCTGAGAAATATGGGAAACTACTTCATCAGCACCAGCAATTCTGAGGAATAACTGCATTTTGAGACACAGCTCAGTTCTTAAGCTGGATAGAGTATTGTCACATTTTCATTGTCCTAACAGCCACATTTTTCACATAAGCATTTGTGCCCAGCACCAGGCAAACAGAGGCAGAGAGTTTTTGCCCTAAAAAGTCACACTATAAGCAGAAATGAGGCAGGGCGGGGGAGGGAAGCCAGCATAGAAATTGAACTAACAATACACTCTATTCTCCATCTAATTCAGCTGTCTAGGGAATAAGGCTTCCTTTGAAGAAGGACCATGCCTTCTCCTTTGTTTGAGAAATATTCAACACATTGCAGGAATGACACAATGTGGCTAAGTTGCCATGAATAAGGCACAGGGCCTGGGTAATATGAGCTGATCTAACTTAGTGACTTGAGGTAGACGGACGTAACAGTAATAATTTACTGTTCCTCAGAGGGAGAGCATCCTTTACAACAGGCACGTTACTATTTGAACTACAGCAGTATGTGGTGCAGCCAACATTAAATTCTGTTCAGCTGCATCACAAAGCATTGCAGTGCTGCTTCCCTTCATTTACCCAATGCAATGGCAATAAACCAGCTGCACTTTCCACCTGTGGATCTATATGCAAAGGTTATTCGGGTCAAACTTCGCATGACTCAGAGCTGTACTCCAGGATTTTACTGCAGGCTTGATATCAGAGCATCCTATATTTAGTGTAGATGCCAATGACCTCTGAACTGACATACACCTGAGCTGGTTCATGTGGAAAAATGCACTTAAGTACATTTTAGTTAAGTATTTAGTCAGCCAAATAATGCCAAAAAAAAAAAAAAAAAAAAAGGCATTTTAAGTGTACAAATTAAGATCTAGAATGAAATACATTTTCAATGCTTTGTTCCATGTCTCTTACTTTTGAAAGGTTGCTAAAAAGCTATTTTATTTTTTCTTGCCTTTGAGTAAGCTTACCAAAGCCACAAGAAAGGCTGAGGGCTGGTTTGGTACTTTATGGTTCTTAAAAATAAAAGTTGCCCTGATTTGTACAGCACAGACATGTACCCACTCCTGGAAACTACAAAACCATGAGATATTTCATCATCTTTCCCTTATAGCACCATCTTACACGTCTAGTGGTTGTAAGCTGTTGAAAATATTTTAGTCTAAGGCTGACTGATAACATCTGAGCTTCTCTCAGACTTCAGGGAATGCTGAATGCTCAGACAGAACCTCCAACTCTTGGACTCCTCGAGTTGTTTTGTTCAGATCATGCTTTCAGCCCACGCTTCCACCTGCAACTCACGCACCAGAAACACTTTCTGGCTATCAGGAACATATTATGACATTAATGATCACCTACCTGGCAGCAGCAGTCCTTACAGATCACATCTATCCTTTCATTCCCTCTTCCCAGTCTTTATCTGCACTAAACAGGGAACTGGCTTGAGGAAACAGTGACACAGTTGATCCTGAATCTAAGTTTTGCTCCCCACCAGGGCTTGGTGAAGCAAAGAAGACTTGGTGACACCCAACACCTTTATTAGGTCCTATTATCCTCAACAGCTGGACCTTTGTGCATAATATTCACTAGTGTTTCACTGTAACTACAGTAAAAAACCATCACGGCTGATCACCTGTTCTCAAAGTTAATTTTCCTCCCAAAAGCTTAAATTAACCCTGAATACTTTGTGGTTGGACTTGATGATCTTTAAGGCCTTTTCCAACCTGAGCAATTCTATGATTCTATGACTGTAAGGATCCCTTTCTTAGTTAAGCATTGGCCACTGGGAGGGACAACAAGAGAACAACTGGAAAACATTTGCTCAATAATTAAGATGTCACAAAGAACAAATGAGAACACATCAAAACAAGATAATATTTAAAGTGAAACACTATGGATTTATTAAAAGAATTTCTAAAAAGGAGGAAAAAAATTGAGCAGACTCACTCTAATGCAGGTCTCAGAACTCTAACTTTTAATGCTTCCAATATTCGATTTAATTCCACGAATGGTTCTTTCTGACTCTGATCTATTGATAGACCAGATTCCTGAAAAACAAAGGCACGCTGCAGGTTAAAGCCTAAAAAAGAGGCAATTAAACTGCTGTTTTTTCCAGACAGTTTCAATATTCACCTGGAAAGCCAGCATTCAGTAAGGATGCTGTCACAAAGCGTAACGCTGCACGTTCAGGAACATTCAACATCCACACTTACGTTACCTGACACAGCTCCTCGGCCACGTCCAACATGCCCTGCCGGAAGAAGTGCTCCACCATCACCTCGTTGAGGATCCGCTGGCTGTCAGCCTGCCAGCACCCATCAATCCCCACGCTGCTGATGTCAGAGTCAAAATTCTGAAAGGTACAAATTAACATTTAATAGGTTGGAACAAAGAACCCCATGTAATTTTCACGCGGGACATCTCTGTCTCCACTCCAGTGCTTTCTGCCTATTACTCAGTTTGCCCTTAATTACCTCCTGTTCAAAGTAAAATGTATCTGTCAGCTGCTTCATTATCTCCTGTGTACAGAAGACATCCTTTGGCTTGCTCATCTCACGTCTCAATATTATCCACCATAAGGAACTACAGTGACAAATTACAAGTTAGCTTAGCAAATGAGAAGCAGAGTTAACTAATAAAGAGACTCCTGGAGTGCAACGTGTTTCTGAAGAAAGTACTGCAGAAAAGAGTTCTTCCATACATGAAAACTGAACAGCAGAAGAACAGAAGACAAAAATCGCCCACGTTAAAATCAAAATAGCATTATCAGTGCATCACTGTCACAACGGGGCACCAAATCAGAAGGAAAAGCTTTAACTCAAGAATTTTTGACACAACTGGAGGGGGCAGACAATGCTGGAAGAGGAAAATGTCACTTCTCCCCAGGCTCCCAATGACAACGAAATCCAAATCTCTGCAGATTTCAATATACCAGCACCTGAACTTCGAAGATCCCAGAGTGTTTTTGCAGATCTAACCCCAACGATCCCTTTGCAGCATATTTTTAGGTCAGTGGCCTACGGACATACTCCAGGAATAAGTAAAAATGTTGTCACAGTGATTCTTTAGTAACACTTGGCACTGTGCCTCTTGGCAACGGGAGAGCAACGCTTACTCTAACCCAGGATATAAAACAGGATTTTAACTGCTAACATGTTTAGTGCTCTGGGCAAGCAAGATAATTTGATTAAACATCCACACCCATAGTCCAAAATAAACTTTTTGCAAAAGAACCAGAGCCCAGCAGGCAGCGCATCGCCTGATTGCCTGGTAGCTACTGCTGCCTTCTGGGAAGTAACTTCAGAAACCAGAAGTTTGGTGATATTAGCAGTGCTTCAGCTTTGGTTCTGTGATGATAACAGCTCTGCACATATGGGAACACTGCACACTCACCTCTGTCACAGCAGACACAGCAAACACCACTGAGCTTGTGCGAGCTGTTCGGCAGCCAGGCACCACCAGTTCTCTGTAGGCCAGCTAACACTGGAGCAGCAGGTTAGCCAAAACACAACCTGGGGTAAGGGCTGCTGGTACAGAGCTGGATAATCAGCTTCAAACCAAATGCGAGTCGGCAGTGCGGGTTTGCATTAGATCAGCACTTTGTATTCCAGTGCTGCAATACCTCTGACCTTCAGAAACAGCCCGACAAGTCAGATGATGTTTTGTGACAACACACACCAGGCAACAGACATTTGCAGAGCAATGCTATCAGAAGCACTCAGAAGTCTCCTATTAACCTGTTCTAGAAGTGAGATCAAGTTTGAAAGAGATTCTTCAAAAAAAAAAAAAAAAAAAAAAAGCCACAGTAGAGAGCAACCTCCTTGCAGCTTTCACCTCATCAATCCCAAGTTTACTTCAGCTGAAACAGTAAGTCACAGTTCCTCTGAAGTCCACACAAAGAAATACGCAGGGGGAAGCACGGCAGACCTGTGCTCTGCTGAGCCCTCCCAACCATTCAAGGAACGTGGCTGGGTGGCAGCACCCCCAAAGCTCCGTATCTGAGCTCCCCCAGACCCCTGAGCCACCCAGCCTCCAGGCAGAAGGGCTCACTTTTAATCCCACGTCTCCCTCACAATACCCACATGGCTATACCTGCTGCTTTAGCAGGTAGCAAGTACCTGCCCACCCTTCAGCTGCCAGCCTCCAGGACTGAAACTGCTTTGATGCTGCTCTGCAACATCATGAGAAAGGAGCAGCCTCCTCAGCCCCACACACAGCTTCAAAGGCAGCACTCCCTTTGTAAACCCTCAGTAAAACACTCACCTTAGGCTAGCAAATTCTCTTCCATCTTTTGGAGATGGTGGGGCAAGACAAGCATCTAAATCACTGTCACTGAGACAAGTCTCAGAGCTAACACTTCCACACAGGTGTCTCGACTTCCAAATTCCCTGCCCTGCTGCTCATCTTTAAACTTTGTAGTGAAAAACATAAGAGTTTTGAAGATTAAATAACACTGTTCTCATCTGTGCCAATCCTTTGAAGCCTTTACAGTTCAATACCATTGCTGATTCTGGTGCTGCTTTCCAGACACCTCTAGCAGGTAGAAAATCCATAGAGAAGGTATTAAACAAATAACAGAGGCAGCACTGAGAACACATAAGCTCTTTTTTTCATTACTTTGGTTTCTGGGATAGAAAAGAAGATTCATTACCAATGAAGTTATTCTTTGTTCCTTTTCAAATTCTAGCACACTTATAACATATATATATATATATATATATATATATAAATTTTTTTAAAATTCTGAAACAAACCTATGAGCTTTGAGAAACTTCTCAAAACCCCACTGCAAATTGGATTTTTTTTTAATCCTATAAAAGATGGCAGCAGTGACTCACACCAACCTAGAAGTGCTGTAGCTGCAGGTCATATAATACAATCCAGGAACCTCAGTAAGTTTTCTTCCTCCCCCTCATCCGTTCTCTGATGAACCCATGTTTGATCAGGCTCTCATTTCAATTACTTTTCTTTAAAAAAACAAAACATGAATGATTTCTGGGGTCTCTATGGTATGTGGGATTCCACAGCTCTGCTTCCAGTGGGTCCTAAGCCGTTTCAAGAACTGACTGCGTAACACAGCCAGTGACTGTCACATGTCACAACAAATGACTGCTTGCCTTTCTCTCACTTATTTCATAATTGTCATGCCAGCACTAGATGCTCATGACTACACATCTCCCAGCTTTGTTTTCTAAATACCAACAGTGTGCCAACTGATGGCATGGGGAATTTCACAGCAAGTTAAATGAATTCCTTACATTACAGACCCCAACATGTTTATTTTACACTTTCAATTTTAAGCTTAGAAGCATGTCAGCTCCTACTGCAGAGCAGCAGCCACTCTTTAAGGAGCCTAACCTAACAAGCCTAAAGGAAAGGTGTAGAATATGATGTGCTACATTTACCAATAATGCCAAGAAAAATACACTACTGATAATTGCTGAAATATGAGGACTCGAGACACTCACATGATGAACCATTTCAATCAACACAACCTTCCCTATTAATAACATGATATGGAGAAGAATGGTGACTAAAGACAGCTTCATTTGCCAGTTTTCCAGCTTAGGTTGCTTTGGGCATTCCTTCCTTCTTCTGAATTCTGACCCCAAACACAAACACATCTGTTAGAAGTTCTCTGTTCAGTCTGTTTGTTCACCAGACGATGCTCAACTTGCAAAGACTACTAAAGCTTTCCTAAATGAAGGCATTCAACTACTGCTCACGTGGTTGCTAGAGGGAAACATTTACTTGCTCCATTTAGTTGTCTCATCCATGCTTGGGGATGAACTCATTGCAGATGAGTGATGTACAGGGAGATGAGGAGTAAGCTACCTGCTAACACTGTGCTGAACAACAAGAGGAGGATGAACACTGGAAGTGGAGCAGATGGTGCTGCAGCACAGATGCAACTGGATGCAAACGTCCCTTATCAAAGAAGAAAACAAAAGGGGCACATAAGCACGTAATCCATTAGGTCCCATCCAAGTTAGTAATGACTAAATGAACTTAAATGCAGACCAGACTAACACTGACATATAGATGTACCCCTTCCTCAACACTGGGAAAAAAAAATTAATCTGTTTGCCACAAGAAGAAAATACAGCAAATGCTTTCAGTAGGGCTGTAGATGCTATGTGTAACAACAGATGTCATTCGGATGTGTCACTAAATTGGTACCAGCATTAGCCTGTTTCCCAACCTCAAATCAGGCAATAAAATCATGAGTTACATTTATCCGTGCCTGAGCAAACGCAGCTACAACCACCATAACTGGTGTCCCAGAGATGTTAATCCAGCCATGAAATAAATGAGAAGGTGCTGGGTGAGGATTTAGACACAGCAAACGGGACTCAAATCTCGTGAATCAAAGCAAGGGCAGCTTCTTTAAATTCAGACAAGCATTTCACTTTGGAATCAGTAATATTTTGTCCACAATGTATCAAGAATCAATTTGCAACATCAATTACAGTTAATTACTGCTATTATTTTCAGCTTAAGTATATTATAGGGAAGCAGTGTGAAGAAGGCAATTTCAATAGTTTTTGAGCATGTTTTCCAGCAGCATGGAGAAAATGCACTGAACGCACACGCAAAGTTCCTTTCAGGTGGTACTGTCCAGAGTTTAAACATCACACTCTCACTTGACAAACATGCTGGGATTTCAGGATACACTTTCAAGTAGCAGAGACACTACAACCAGTGAGAAGTGATAAAACCAAACTACTTGCATGCTGAACAGTTCCTATCTAAGGAGATAACAACCCTCACTGGTGCTCTGCACTGCACAGAAATGTGTCCTTCACTCCCAGCAGGACTGGTGCAGTTCCCACTGGAAGCCTTTTGTTGAAAACATTACACACACGTAGCAGGAGCAAGAATCTGGAGGAACAAGCAGGTCACAGAGTGCAAGCTGAACTCAGTTTGAAACAGCCCTCTGAAACAGCTTTTCTGACCCTGTACAGGCACAGAGTAGATCACTGCATCCCCTTCTGCTGTGTTTTTAGAAAACCAAGCATTTCAAATTTAACCAATGTTTTCATTTACAGCCATTCTCTTTGAAATGAAACCAATAGACAAAAGGCTAAGAGACAGCAACAACACTGTCAGATCTATGCGCGTGACAAAGCAACAGCAATTTGAGTATCAGACTCAAGTCTCACCTGTATTAAGCTCGTATGCATTGTCTCCTTCAGCCTCTAAGGAGTATTGCCACTAACTTCCACAGCAGATTTACAGCCTTTATACAAGACCAAGGGCTGCTCTATCTCAGACTACTCAAATTAAAAAGGTGCACCCAAATCTGAAAGCTCTTCATACAAACTCCACTTGATAAAACAGAATAGAAAAGTTTCAAACACAGGACAAGATTACATAGATTTATTTCAGGCTTCACACCAGTAATAAGGATGGAATTTTACTCTAGTTAATAGGTTTAGGTACAGCAGCAAGGATTAGAGGCAGATGCATCCTTAAGCTTTGGATAACAGTGATGCTTGGATTAAAGCTATTAGTACAAAGTTTGAGCTCTCCATGATGGTCAATCATAAGCAAAACAACCCTAACAGCTGCAGAGACATTCTGTCCCACAAAGCAGCACTATGCACTTCAGCAGTTTGTTGTGCTACTGTTAAATTATGCTTTAAAAGCTTACCATTACTAACAAAGTTGAAATATTTAATTGATGAATTAGTGCTCTGTAATGATACAAGTGTTTTTGTCCAGCTGAAAAGTTGTTTTTAATGAAAGTAGAGTAAATTCAATCTAAATGTTGTGAAATTGAGCCCTAAGAACCAACAACACATCTGATATACGTAAGAATGTCTGTCTCAAATTCTCTCAGCTTCTAGGCTGCCCTCAAGAACAGAACACCACTTCCTGGTCATTTGCTACCAACAATTAACCAGAACTGAAACACACACCTATAAATAACACTCCTTATCAAGACTGACGTTGCAGCAAACGCTTTGCTATGCAGATGTAATACGTTCTGTTACCAGCCTAGCAGGACCTCTATGCCACGTCCTCTTGGAAACAAGAGCTGCTCCAAAATGGAGCGCTCTGCATGGGAGTTCTGAAGCGTTGCTGCACATCACATGGTCTTATGTCTGCCTCCAAGCCTACACTGCTGCAGCTGAAAGGAAGACTGAAGATGAATAGTAGCACAAATCCCAGTGTTGTGAAGGAGTACAGACCACGGAATGCATGCAATAACACCATCAAACCACAATACACTTACCTTATCAATGGCTTTTCCAACTCGGGATACACTGCTGTGAATGTCTTTGTGATCAGAGGCCAGTTTTTGGACTGTGTCCTTTATTCTTTTACAGCACTGTGTCATAACAAGTGAAATTGTCCCTGACAAGTCTCCATCTTGATCTAAACACAGAAGAGAAGAAAGTCACCAACTCTGTTATGAAGAAATAACTTAAATCTTCAACATGCAACATCATATAAAGACAAGTGGTATTAAAAGAAATGCAATTTGAAAGCATTGGTGAAGCAAGTGCAGCTTAAATTAAGTAAGACACACAGGACATGGCTCAGCCCACAAGGAAACCAGTCTGTTACAAAAATAACACTCAATAAGTGCAGCACTTTAAAAAGTAGTGTAAATATATTGTGTGTTCTAATTGAGTTCAGCAGATCAACAAACAGGTCTCCAAGAAACACCCCCAAACACACATCTCACAGAACGTAACAGGAAACAGCCTCTAACCTACTACAGGATCAGTTTTTTTCTAGACAGCTCCCTGAAGACACATCAGAGCACAATGCTTAAAGTTAACAACATGATATGGATTAACGAGGTCCCAATTCACTCTCACCCCCAAACCACCTCCTTACTCCATAAGGTGTGAGCTTGGATTTGAGCTGTGAAACATTTGCTTTCTGAGCAGTGGGGATGGTCCCAAACAGCGCCAGTCTCAGCCTCTCCTTGAGGGATGTGAAATAGCCACAGAGGCCCTGACTGGAGACATCAGGCTTCCAAGAAAGAGCAGACGGTCAGGTCAGATTTATCTCTAGCAGCACGATACTGCTAAGCTCACCCACCAAGAGCACTGCTGTGTGACCCGCGTTGGGGGCAATATAAATACACAGTGCTTACAACCCCCTTACCATCTCCTCTCACCTAATTCACGCCCCTCTGCAGCAACCAGCAACAAAGTTGACAACAGCATCCTTCTGTGCTTTACTTCGGCCCTTTCTCTGGTTTTGGTTTCTAACAGAAGGAGACTACTTGCCAGCCTTACCTCTGTAGGTCTCTCCTCCCTCAGAGTTCATCCTACATGAAGACTGATTCCTTCAGGCACACACACCGACCACTTCAACTCTACTGAAGGCTACTTTAAATACATCAGCCCAGAAATGCTTTCCTAACATTCCAGATCCAAACAATTCACATGGAAAATAACACCCCAAACCATTTCTCTACAGGAAAGATTTTAAAAAGCAATCACTTTTTGGTAAAGTTTCTTTCTCATTCTGTACTTCAGCACAGTTCTGGTTTGAGTGACATGCGAAGAGATCAGTTCCAATGCTGGCAAGCTGAGAACAATAGAAAGAAACAGTAACCATTACAATGCACACTGAACAATGTGCCTTGGAGAGAGCAAAGGAAACCCAGCTCACAAAGAACAAGGCTGCAGTCGGAGGGGGTAGGGAACCATTCCGCAGCCGCTTACTCTTAACCTCTTCTCTTATGCATCCCAACTTTCAACTCTGCTGTTGATGTCGACAGCAAAAACAAGGTGAAGTTGTTACACACGACAAGGAGTTCATCCCTAAGAAAGTAAACGACCCGTTTATCTTCACGAGCTTCTGCTATGCAAGATATGACTGCATTTTTGCAATAGACGAAGCTTTTAAGGACAAAGGAAAAATAAGGCATCGGGTTTCTTACTGTGGTTCCATGAAGATAACCTTAAGCAAAATGACAGAGCTTTACGTTTTTTCTTGCTGAGGATGGAAACAGTCCCTATAGTGCACAGTCACCAATCTGGCTCTACGCATCCTAAATTCAAGAAGAAATTTCACACAGCTGCCACCTGAAGTCGGCCTCCTACAATTACTTCAACAATAATGACTGTCTGTTACTGTTTACTTCTTGTGACAGACATTTAAAACTTACATAAAGGATTAAGGAACTTTCTGGTGCTTTCTCCCAGGACAAAACGCTCAGTCAGTTTAACCACAACCAGAACGTAAGCGCTCATCCCCCAGACCTGCAGTGCCCCATAAACAGGGAAGATAAAACACATTAACAGCCATTTTTTCCTAGAAAAGCCATTAAGCTAAAACCCAAACAACTTATACACACACTGGTATTTCTACCCCGAGCAAACAAGTGGATTATTGTCCCCTAACACATACTGCAGCAGAAACCAGCTACAGCAGAAAAGCCATCGAATTCATAAGAGAAAAGATTTCTCCCCCTACGCGCATCTCTTTCTGCTTTAATTAAACTCATCATTACTTGCAATAAATCAGCAGAAGGAAGCCTGCAGACAGACCCCTCTCAGCATTCAGTGCTCACAGAACACCATGGACTGACAGCTTCACTGTACTGGGTGTGCAGAGATGCAATTTAAAAGGAAATACTTCAGCAGTCAGACACCAGGCAGTGAGCAGAGCTCAAAGCCAAGTTCAGTCAGCCAGACACTGACCAGACATTGCTTCCACCATCCAAGAAGAATAAGCTATCCTGCCTTGGCTGTTCTAGGAGATGAGATGTATTAAAGGAGAAGAAAAGCAAACTTGGTCTTCCTATCCACAGGGCTCAACATGGGGCTGCTCAGTGCTTGGGCTTTAACATGAAGAACAGCTCAAGAAATGTTAAGAGCAGGAAAAAGAGCACAAGATAGAAGCTGCTTCGGCCTCTAAACTAACAGGGTTTTCTTCTCCACTCATTTCCTTTTGGTAGCCAATGCCTATTTAAGGCCTTTCCATACATCTTTGCTTTCAAATTTCATCCCACAACATGAACTTCTTTCTATTACTTTTGGATCTGTTTTTTTGTTTGTTTTAATGTTCCCTTTTAAATCACATGCAGAGAGGGATATTTCTGCAGTTCACACCCCCAAATTACAAAGCTCCATGTTAGGATATCTGGCTGCTTCCGTGTCCATCAATTCTCAAAAAAAATAAAAATAAAAATTCAGGTCACAGCACATAAAAGCTGCAAGTCTTACTAAAAAGGTACATGAAATCTATTAAAGCTGCCTACCCACAGACATTAAAATTTAATAGAGTCCTGAGATATTTGAGTATGCACTGACAACACATTAGCTTCATTCTAGAGTGCTGACTAAAAGAAAACTCAGTTTGGGATGCACTTTGCTAGGACAGCATCACCAGTCGGTCAGTGAGTGCTGAGAACACATCTGGGGTTTTATAATACCACCCCAAAACACCTGTACATGGAGCCTGGAAGGAGCACCCTGGGTTTTCACTTTATTACAACAGAAGTAAGAGCTCTGGATGTGGAATAGAATCACAGAATGGCCTGGGTTGAAAAGGACTTCAAAGATCATCTAGTTTCAACCCCCCTGCAATGGTCAGGGTCACCAACCACCAGATCAGGCTGCTCAGAGCCACATCCAGCCTGGAATAGGAGGCTTAGAAAGCTTTGCAATCCCACAGATTCCACTAAGTATCAACACAAGCCTAAGGGTCGTGCCACAAAGCTTTCCAAGCAAGGTCAGCATCTGTTTGTGAGGATATGCATTAAAGACAGTCGATAAAACACACAAGCTCAAACTCTCTGGAAAGCCACTGAGCGCCATTTACTGAGATGCGCTTCCAAAATAATACCAAAAAAGACAGAACATGACTTCATCGCAGACAATAGCCTCAGAACTGTATTTCCATATTTGCTCTCTATGCAAACTGCTCTGTGCACGCAGCAACTCTCACGCACTTCTGTTTATGTTCTAGGAACTAAATGTGCTCCTAGACGAGAACCACACCTGTATTTGTAACAAACCCACAGCAAACACATTTGACTCTGAACCAAAGAAGAGCAAACCCCAGAAAGCAGCGAGATAAACACCCTGCTGTCAAGTTTGGGCAGAGGAGCCGGGCAGCTCCCACTCCTAATCCCTGAGCCACCACTCACTTCCTGCAGGGCGCTGGGTGAAGTCGCTTCAGCCGCCTCAGCACCCCTCCCACACCACCCATAAACACGGCGCTGATTGTGCAAGCTGAGCGTTTCATGTTTACAGCGTGCTTCGGAGACCGAGCCTGCCCACACCGGCTGCAAAACAGAAACTCCACTCACGAGGCCGTGTTTGCTTTCAGCTGAAGAGCGGCTTTGCCCTCCCCGAAGGTAAATAAGTGACAAAAGCATCGAGGAAAAGAGAAAACAAAGAGAAAGGCGAAATAAACAGCGGGCTGGCTGCTTTCTTGCAAGCCTGCTCTTCATCTCCTGGCTCTCCCCCGGAACACGGCGCAGGGCTGAGCAGCCCAGCGGCTCACAGCGCGCTGAGGGCACAGCCGGGCAGGGCTGAGGGCAGCCTGCGGGCCTCGCGTTTCCACACTGGCGGATTTTAAGACCTTTCGAAGCGGTCTTTCTTTGCCCTGACGAATGGGGAAAGAGGGCGGCGGGCTGGGAACGGACGGGGATAGGGAAGCAAAGCGGGGTGTGTGGGGGAAGGGGGGTTCCTCACGTACTCTCGGTCTGGAGGATCTCCCGCCGCAGCCCTCCCGCGTACTGGATGAGCTCCTCCAGGCTCCGCTCGCAGAGCTGCCCGTAGCCCGAGAACTTCTGCAGCACCTTCTCCAGCTCCCGCTCCACCGTCACGCACTGGTCCATAGCGGCCGGCACCGGGCCGCCTTCTTCTTCTTCGTCTCCCCCCACCCCCGGGCTCCGCGGCCTGTCCCGGCCGCCCTCCGTCAGCCCCGGCCCGGCGTCCAACTTCCCGATCTCCCCCAGCTGTGCGCAGGCAGCGCGACGGGCAGGCGGGGACCTCGGCGGCGGGGGAACAGGCGGCGCTGCGGGCAGCCGGGGACCTTCGAGGAGAGAGGAAGGTGCGGCGATTATTGCTCAGGCGGTGCGGCGGGCAGCCCCGGCCTACCGGCGGGAGAGAACGGGCAGCGAGGCGGGCAGCTAAGCGCGGGGTCCTGAGGCTGCGCTGTTGCCATGGGGACGGGCTGGAGGGGGCGGGGCGCGGAGGAGGCTGCGCTGTGTGCTGTCGGGTCTCGGGCAGGCGCGCGATACCAGTGGGGTTGTGGGCTGAGGGGATTAACCCCCTTGCGGAGCGCTGGGCAAGCGCTTGGTTAAAAAAGAACAGCCGAAATAAATATTTTTTGCTTGAATTCCCCCTTGGCACTTCAGTAGTTGGATATGGCAGCCCCAGGCAGGTGTCACCGTGTGTTTCTGTCCAGTTAGAATCAGTTGAGAAAACTCTGGCCTGAATTTGGAGCACAGAAGCACACAGTCACAAGGATCACAGAGTCCAGCTCCCAGTCACAGAATCAAGGAGGTTGGAAGCGACCTCAAGAGATCACTGAGTCCAACCCTGCTGCTAAAGCAGTTCCATACAACAGGTCACACAAGTGGGCACCCTGATGGCTCTTCAGTATCTCCATAGGAAACTCCACAGCCTCTCTGGGCAGCCTGTTCCACTTCTCCATCACCCTCACTGTATACAAGTTCCTGCACATGTTAGTGCAGAGGTTTTCTTGTTCAAGTTTTTCATGCTCTTTTTAATGCACATTTAAAAGACCATTGGGCTCCTTGGCCACAAGGGCGCAATGCTGGCTCATGGCCACCCTGCTGTCCACCAAGACCCCAGGTCCTTCTCCTGTAGGCAACTCCCAAAGCTCAAACCATGTATCTTGTTGCTTCATCTGTGGCCATACTGCTGAAATAAGACACGAAAGCAGAGATTATTCTCAATGTAGGTGCATACAAGTCACAGTCATTTTGTCAAATTCAGGCCCAAACTGCTGCCTCTGTTTTCCTGCTCTTTCTATACTCATATATGATGTTCAAAGAAATGCAAATGCCTTGGGCTTATGTCATTAGTATCTTGGTTTAATTTGTTAGGTTCTTTACCACCATGGTCACCTTTGACATCTGTTAGCACATTCAAGCAAGATCTCCTGACTTAGACATACATATATAAATATACATAGTCAAATACAAATAGAGTCAAGCATATGTATATACACACATATTGTCAAACATATATATAGTTATCAAACAGAATCTGTCTTCTCTAGGGGCAGTATAAGATTTCTTACTGTTACAGTAAAGAAAATACCAATACCAAGAAAAAAAAAAAAAAAAAAAGGCAATTCAAGATTTAATTCACGTATTCTGCTCTTGTATGCTGTTTGGCCTTGATTCATGTACCTTTCTGCGCTGTTAACTGTTGTGTGCTTACAAGCAATTCTCACAGGAGAGGAAAGATTGTCTATCAGATCAAAGAGTAAAACTCCAGCCTGCCTGAAGCCCGGTGCAGCCTGCAGCCTGCTCTGATATCCCAGCTGTCCCTGCCTCCAGCAGGAGATTGGACTTTGTGACCTCTGGAGATCCGGTCCCACCGGAACTGCTGTGATTCACTGCTGGATCACGTCAGGCTTGCTTCACCTGAATAACCAGAGCTTTATCTGAAGTGTCAAGTATTGGCCAATCTATTGCAGAATACCTGTGTGTTAAATCTACTTCCTTTTTGGCCACTTGCAGCAAACATTTTTGAATTTAAAATTCCTCTAGGTAAAACAGCGCTGTCTGGCTGATGCCATTTTGTTTTGACACTCTAATAGAGGCTTGCTGGTTTATTTAATTAAGATCGGTTAAATAATATTTTATAGCACACATAAAAATTTGTTGAGATGCATCCATGTTGTTTAAAATGTAATCCAAGAAGACTATATGTTACTAAACTCCTGCCAATTATATTTACAGAGTGGCTGACTCATGGTAAAACTGGGTTTCTAGTAGCTTAAATGTTAGTTGACTGATCTTGCTATGTGGCAATATTCAGACTGTCCAAGAAAAAGGGGGTAATAATATTTTAACACGATAAGGAATGGAATTAAGATTTTCAGTCTTCAGTTGTATTGACTTAAAAAATGACAATACTTGTCTTAATGTTCCCAGTAGATGGCTGGGTATTGAAGGTGGATTACTGTCTGTATTCCCAGGGTGCCCAGCCAGCAGCTGCTCACAGGAAACAATGAAGGAGGAGAGGGAATTCTTGCCATTTATCAATGGGCAGCAGAGTCTTCAGATTTGGCTGTCTGACAAGAAAAGATGTCTGTCTCAGTTCTGAGGATTTGGTCTCATTCTCTCAGAAATCCAAGTAAAATATTCTTTTAACCAAGATGGTGTAGAAGCAGATCTCTGCTTTGGGTTTTGTTTAAAGGTGGAATTTACATATTTAGTTCTCATTACATCTGTAATATTTGCTCAGTGAGCACAGAACTGTCTGTCTGATGACTGTTTAATATTGCTAATTATGTTGAGTTAACCCGAAGGTCTTTAAAATGTCAGCGCGTGTCTTGTTTGTCTTCACCCCAAATGAATTTTTAATTCACTGCTATGGTATTCAAATTTTCCAGCTAATTATAACTCTCTGAAAAGTTGTTTGCAGGTGACATGTCAAAGACATTCTGAGTTACAGCTAGAAACCAACAAATGTCAGCCGCATCTAGAAAATAACACATCAGGTTTGTAAACTAAAGATGTAAAGACAGTATTCACTTAGGAATTCTTTCTCAGCATATTAAACATGAGTTGGAGGGAGGGAGAAAAAAAACCCAAAATTCTGTGGATATGCGAATGCTCCTCAGGTTTGTACAAGTGCAGCCCTTGGTGCTGCTCAAAACAAATCTTTGCAGAACCAGTATTTCAGCACAGAGGCCCCAAGCCCGCTGTGCAGCTTCCTAGTGTTATCCCTCTTGTCCCCCAGGCCTTTGGCTAACCCATCGCCTGTGGTTCTTGCTCATACCCATCCCTGCCCTGCTTTTCACTTGCGTTTTTCCCTCTCCCTCACATTTCTGTTGTCTTTGTACTGCTGTGCTCACAGTTGCTTTGCTTTGGATTGTTTGGGGTGCGTATGTGTTGGGTAGCGGTTTGAAACAATAGTTTTACTTTCTTGAAAATTACTCCAGGGTTTTGAGTTTTGGCAGATGATTAGCTTAGTATCTGCAGGGGACTCATCATCAATTACCACTGGGGAATGTTAAGAATTCATTTAACTCAGCCCATGAGCAGTAGGAAATAACATACTTGTGACAACCTCCCCAGCAGTTGGTGTTGCAAATAGTTGAGCTGTGAGCGTAGCCTTAATTAATGCTAGGTGCTTTCCAGCTGGAGGAAGCAGGGCATCCCTCAGCTCAGCACACAGCCAAAAGATACAGGGAGGAAACAGGGAGAGCAGGGAAATGGGGCAGCTTCTTGCATGCATGATGAAAGTAAAGGGTCTCTGTGAAACTTTAGAAAAAGAAATGTGGTCTTGCAGTGTGTTCTCAGCACTCCAGGGGAGCTTACCTCTGGTCCTAGCGACAGGTGACATTAAATGTGCTTTTTATTGAAAATCCCTTGGCTCTGCCAACTGCAATAACAAAGCCACTCACGGTTTTGTTTTTGCCAAGGGGAAAGGATTAATCTTACTGATGCTGTGCCACAGACACTTTCTCATCAGGGAGATGGGTCCTTGAAGGGGATTTAAAAAAATTGAGTGACTGTGAAGGAGAGGGCTACAGCCTGTCCTACAAGCTCTGTCACTTTTTCCTCCAGTACCTTCTGTGCAAGCTCACTCCAAATCAGACTGAGCTGCTGAAACCCCTTTATATTCATTCAGCTGAGCAACAGCAGCAGCTCTGATGCAGTCCACTCTTCCCTCCTCTAATCTTTACTGTACCACATTACAATTACGAGGAATAAGGAGTTGTACGGCTCCCAGTACAACACAGAACATTTAGAAGCCTATGAGGACTTAGTTTGTGAGCAGGTATTTCTGCAATCTCTCTTCCCTTTTCCAGAAACAAAACGAGCCCCCTGCGATAGAAAGCATAGCCGTTCTCAAAGAGGCCATCGTGGCTGTGCAGTCACCTGCAAAGCTAAACAGGACAACATGGGCTGAACCTGCATCCAGGATGCCCAGGCATAAGGATGCGTGGGATAAGGCAGGTGGAGCACAAGAACAGCGTTCGTATTTCATTTTTTACAGTGGTTGATGTGGGTGTAATGGTTAGTGCTTATTACCCCTTCAAATCAACATGTAAGAACCCTCTAACTGTTTTTTAACTGCTCTGAAGACCGTGGCCATTTAGATGCTTTTTACAGGTCAATATTTATGTTAAAATTCGATTTTTATGCCTTAGTGCAGAATTACTTAAGCATGTGTGCTCTGAGGGGTTGTCAGTATTCTTTAAATGAAGCTGTGCTATTTCTGTGTTTGTGTATGAGTTGGCAATTTTAATGCAAACTGTGGTTTCTTAAAATAACTAAACCTACAGAGGCGATGCTGAGTTCCCTTCAGAGGAGAGCCTTCATCTCAAAGACCAAGTGTGACTGCAGTGTGTTTTGAAGCAGGTTAAATCACCTCTTTACAGCCTTTCTCACACTTCTTGTGCAGAACCCCAGTGAAGTGGTCTGGTCTACGTTGGATGGCGACCTTGTGCATAGCAGGGGGCTTGAAACTAGACAATCATTATGGTCCTGTTCAACCCAGGCCATTCTATGGTGTGATCCTATGATCAAGCAGTCCCACTGGGTTGCTGTCAAACCATTGATGGAGATGTTCAAGAGCCTGGGGATGTGGCACTGAGGGACATGGCTGGTGGGCATGGTGGGGATGGGTTGGTGGTTGGACTTGGTGATCTGAGCCCTTTTCCAACCTCAATGATTCTATGATCCTGTGAACTGTCCAAGCACT